TAAAATGTTAACTGAAACTTAATCGCTTACGTTGGCTAGGCCATGCCTCCATATGTCGGTTGACCGCCTACCTCGGCCTGAATTTCACCCCATGGCCGCGCCATGCTGGACGAGACCGTGAGGTGTCCAGTCTATGACGTGGTACAGAGGCATGGAGAAAATGACGGAAAAGCTTGCCATGCTGGTACATAACGTTTTCGTGCTTGCGGAATTGGGGATTATCTATACAAGTGGCTGGATACCTCATCAGGCATACCGCGATTGCGCAGTGAGTGGCGTTCCTCACTAGCTTTCGTGCATGTAGCCAGATAGCATTATTCCATCTTGGTTGGTTTCCGCGCTTCTTTCTTAAGCCCACTTTTACATTATATTTGTATTCAACTTAGTTTCCTTGCCGTTATAATCTATAGTTATTCTGGTGACATGAGTTGTGACAACTGGATCCAAAGCACTTCGGTGCCCGGATCATTGTTATTTAACTGAATAGAAGTGCCTGGTTACTTTAATTATGGTATGTCAAGTAATATTGCTGCTAGTTTGGGTCTACAACTTAATTTAGTGTATTGTAAAAGTTAAAGTGAAAATTTTGTGTTTGGATACAATTATGGCAATGAGCAGACATGGCCAATGATCATGACAACATTTTCGCCGATGTGAATAGCATTAATTTAGACGTCATAGTATAAGCTGACACAGTTGTGTTTTATTCCAAAATGGTGCATAATAAATCTTGACTACAGGTTGCATGAATCAAGATGTAAAATAATTATATTCATAGTAAAAGGACTAAAAAACGAAATAAGTATCTAACACCTTTTGTGGCATTGTAGTTAACCATCAACTAATCAATTCAAAATAGGATTCGAGACAGTCGTTTAGACATTCCAGGTTATTGGGCTTATTTTATGAAGAACATAATAACTCTAGCCTTGAATTAAAGTGTGGTTCTGCATTAATCTTGGCAGGAATTAGAACAATCCGAGATTAACAAATGTTATGTTAACGGCAGTTCCAACATCTTACATCAATGTTAATCGTATATAGATGACGATCGTTTTATGTAGGACATCGCCGAGCTAATTTTGCTTTAACTAATTCCGTTTCCTTCAATTTATCTTCTCATTAATTTGACTTGTATCAAACAGCCCAAGCTCTGGTGATATTCAACCGCGCTACGTCAATGAATCATCTAGAGCAACTTAAATTATAAATTATTGTGGGTTTATAACTTCTTGAAGAAGTAAGTAACCCGCCATTGATGAAACCCGTTTCTTTAAGTGTTGACGCTAGTTTCCTAAAACGATCAATACCAAATAGGTGGCGCAGGTTGAAAAGGTAGACAGCGGTAGGCAATGAGTTGCGAACTTCCGTCTATCAAGTATTGTAGCTTTTGTGTGATGACTGCATTTAAACACAATGACGCTTTTTCCTATAAGAGCACTTGAGATTAAATGAATTATTTGGCTTACTTAAAATGCCGAAAATAACCAAGCTGTCTGCCATAGTTTAATAAAATATGCTATATGGCAAGTTGTTTAGAACAATTTTAAGTGTGATAAAAACGATTTGTTGTCCACACCAAGTAAAATACTAATACCTGAAATTAACCGCGAAACTTAAAACGAGACAAAATGAGACAATCCATATGTAGCATCTCCTTAAATTTCATTCTTTCTGTTACCGTGCCGAAAGTATAAATATTTAACATAGTATAGTGTGAGATCTCGCTGGTTCTAAACAAACTCTAACTACTGAAAAAAGGAAAACTTTATGGGATATTAGATCCCACTAGTAAAGTGCCAGTTAAGTAGACAAGATTTAGCATCTCTTCAATAGTATAAAGAACTTGCAACCCCGCAATTAAAGCAGGTTCATTGAGCGATTTTAGAGTTTTTCAAAGCTCAGAATCAAGAAAGTTCCGCACTGGCTTCCCAAATGCGTTATGTTAACAGATATTTACGGTGTTGCTTTTTTACACACCCAAAGTATTTAAAACGCCGCTTGGCCACACTTCCACAACCAGTCAACTCGAACATCTAAATGCCAACAACATAAAACGAATATAAGCTATTACCGTCCACAAATGGCCGCGCATGTGTCGTGCGCTTACAGCGTGTTTTATATTGCCACATTTGGAGAGCATGCAGTGACAGTGCTTTAACGAAGGAAAATGGGAAACTAACGTTGTTAATGCGTTAAGAATCTTCACTATGGTGACAGCAATGGACGGACTGTTTTATGACAAACATAATCACCTGGTCAACACCGCTGTTTACGTCTTTACGGTTCACCGTCACATAGTAACCTAAATATCTTGACCTAGTCAGTCTGTTAACGAACAACCGGATAATGAGGAAACCGGCATATTAAAGCGCAAAAGACAAGACAACGAAACCTTAGCAAGAAACGTAGGTTTTTCTTTTATTTCTATGCAGTGTAGTTTATATATTTAGTTCGAACACCTTATATTTCAAAACAACTAACCAAAATAAGTTCATATGCTCCGAATTTTGTGGATTGTAACTATTTTTTAAACTGCAAGCAATGAAGTCCAGGTAGATGAATGAAGACTTTCCCCCAGTTATCTAAACTAAATGGCGAAATTTGTACTTATCTTAATGGCTGCAGCATGCACTGTTCATTGCGGTCGCAGTTTGAGTAACATCTAGCAAACTATTAGGAGTCTTTAGATTATATGATGTATTTCACCGGAAAGAACATGCTGACAAATTGAAGGTAACTATGGTGCGTGAAAATAAATGTTGATACTGTAATAAGTCCTAAATATATATAAGTTTACCAATATTAAACAGGTTGGTCAAAAATGCATTGATAAAAGTTAGTAATAACCTTTGCCCCACAAGAAAGGAAGAATGGAATACCTTGGTCAATGTATTAAAAATTTATTTCTTCCGCTAAAAAGTTTCGTGCATTGGATTAAAACAGTCCCTTGTTAACAGTTCGTTGTGGCAGCATTTAAAGATTGAGTTATTTCTTCATGTAAATAGAGATGTTAAGCGGAATTACTCAAATGATGACTAAATATTATGCACTAAATAAATTGGAGGGTATGGCAATGTTTCGACCAGTAATATATGCTCATCCAATAATGTGTTATCTAAAACTTAGGTAATATGTTGCTACCGATTGTGCATAAGCAAAGTTTTTCTATTTCAAGTTTTAGTATTCAATATAAGTTAAATACCCAGCTATTTATTTTAAGCGTGCGCACATGCACTAAGCTGAAGCAGTACTTAAAAAGAGAAAGTAAGGAATCTGAAACTATACTTCCATATTTTGATCGCAGATATCCTGGTGTTAATGGCTTGCTCATATACAATCAAGTTAACCTTGTTGCACTTAAATTTAAGGCCACCTGGTAAACACTCGTCACTGAAGAAGTAGTTGCCTTAGTTCGCCTAACGTTGCTCGATTTTGGTTACGCATGATTAAATTTACAAGCGGAATTTCCACAAAATAATCTGGGATGCTTTAGCTGTTGAACAAAACTCTAATTGCAACATAAGTGATCTATTCCATTTTCAGAATATCAGACACAATCCATCAAGTAGATGAGCCAAGAGGTAAGTATTTTTCAAGAATTATGTGTAGTAAGTTGACTCAGCCGATATAAGCCTGCGCAATATAGGTTGCCTGTATTGGTGTCGAGTTAAAAATAATTCACGCCAACCTTCATAGCATAAACATGCTCAACCTACTTCCGCAATGCATTTTCAAAGGGAAAGCAATGTGGATGTTTTGATATAAGAGCGAATGACTTGGGTCCCATCAATTCTACTGGGAATTCGCCGCATAGAACTCTGAGAGCCTAAACTTCAACTAGCAATTAGTTTGCATGCTTCCTGACTAAAAGCATCCACACTTTGTTATCTGTCCGTTACATAATGATTGCAACAAGTTAATTCCGGCACCTTTGGGGAAGCTTTCTCACAGCTAGAATCAGCAAACAGACCCTTCAATCAACATAGCGGTGTATTGGTCCTTTATCCTACTGAAATCATCAATATCGCATTCGCCTGGTCTTGCCAAATCCGAACCCATGACCTAATCTGTCACGAGTCCACAACGTATGCCACTAAGCCATATATGACCACAGCGGATCATTATAATTTATTCGTAACTGCGTGTTCGCTCGGATGATCTCTAGCCATGCATGTTATAAATGTGCAGAAGAGAGGGCTTGCCCCAAGGCTGAGACGTCCTCTTCAAGACGTTAAATATCCATATGGCATGTTAGCTGACAGGGTGATTTTGGCCAACTCAATAGATTTCCAAGGGGTTATTGTGTTTTTTGAGGCGATGCGTTGCAACTAAATGTAGTCGAAATGCTAACACACGTACATAAAATCGCGCTCCTGGATGAAGTTGGGTTACACGACATTTCGATCGGCAACTGCGTGTACAGAAAGTCGTGTCTCTTGATTCAAGCCCTTCCTCTGCATCAACATGGAATGAAGGACAGGGAAATATAAGTTGAGTTATATCACAGTTATGAACCATGGTAGTCCGCCGCCGTCACTCGTGGCTCAGTGGCATAAATCACTGACTCATAAAGGTCATTATTTCGGATGCGGCAGGATTCAGCGGATGCACGATACTGACGAGTCTCAATAGAACGAACCGTGAGTCTTAGCGACTTCATGGATGTAAGTAGCTATCTAGTCGAGTCTGACTGCGGCCAACCTTCCCAAAATAAACAATGAAAACATCCACACATTTAAGGTTACACTGCTTCCATCGGATGGGCTGACCTCATTGAAATAGGTGCTTAACATTTGCACGATTTAGTTCTTCAGTGCAAATGTAACATGTATTTTAGTAACCGTGTTAAAATGTATTTATCTAGCGTACACTCTCCATAGCTAAACCATAATTAATTAGTGGAAATCTACATGGCAAAGTAAACTTCACTTTTGTCTATCACCGTTATTATTCCTCTTGCAGCTTTCCAAAAATCATTTATTAATTTGGAACGGCAGATGCGAAACATTACCCGTCCCACAGGAGCAAAAGGCGCATTTTATTGTGACATAATTGGTCAACCGATTCCGCAGATTCAGTGGATAAAAGATGAGAAAATAATGACAGACGCAACTGGTCGAATACACATTGAGACGGGACTATGGGGCAGTTCGTAAGTTATATTAGAATCATACCATTTTTCTTTACAACTGCTTTACGTACAACCGTAGCGTAATGATTAAACTATAATACTCAAGACAGAACGGAACAAATGTTTATATAACATCGAATTACCTCAGTAAATAAAAAGCACGGATGGATTTGTCTTGTTAAGAGTAAACCAATTTGCGTTCTAGAAGTTGTTACTGACATCGCAGCATTAGATGAATAACTAAATTTTGATCAGAATTTTGGGGCTGTCTAATGTCCGCTAAATTTATGGCATGCGTCTACATCTGCCATCAGTTTTGTGCCACGTATTTTCTTCTGGTTAAATCTCCTCTTAAATGTTTGCAAACTGTTGCATGAAAAATGTATCCTTTTCTTCGCACTAATTACGTAGGCTTCGCGTGGATCAGGTACGGAAATCCGATGAAGGTACCTACACGTGCATGGCGATCAATCCTTCAGGAGCCATAAATGCCACCGCTTATTTGCGGGTCACGGAAAAAGGTAAGGGTCCTCTTTTCGGCCAAAGTGCCATTACTGTTTTTAACCACTAGCTTTTTACTCTCTATAGCATGGATACCCATGGCACCCTAATCCATTTCTGGTTGGCTCACTATATATCGTATACCGCCTCCGTTGTCCATCTTTACTAGTCAATCTATTGTTGCCGTTGATAGTCAAAGTGTAATTAACAAGAATGTTGAAGTTATCATAGGCTTTATTTAACACAATCCAAGGATATCAGCTGCTCAGCAAATTTTTAAATCATTATAGGTTATAAATCTGACAGATAATTTTGTGATATGTGACCACCGTTTGCCACGATTTGAATC